GTGAGGGGGGCGCATCGAGGAACCTGACCTTGGGGCAGCAGAGAGAGTAAATCTGGCCCTGGATGACACACTTCCTTTTTTTGGTGCTGGTAAGGTAATATAGGTGAACTTTATGATTTAAGCTCTTTAGCACAGTTGCTCTTTACAGTTGGTTGTTAGTGCAGCCCATCATAAATGAATGACCATTGGATGGGCAGGTACAACTTCAGAAGTGAGCTTGGAGCGGTGACTACTTTACAACACACACAGGGACCTTGGGGAACACAAGTAGCCACCCTCCAGAAGGAAGGACAGTGTCCGCAGGAATTCAGAGATGATTTGAGGATCAACAGCCGAGTGATACACAAATAAGATACATTTTTGTTAATAGTTAAGGTACTTGAATGCATTTATAAGATTTAACTCTTGAGTTTAGTGTCACTTTAATGGAAGGATCACTAGGTGTCTTTAATTGAATGCGGTATATTTGAAAACTACATTTGAAATGTTAAAGCTTACATGGGATTTTAGTGCTTGGAGTTAGCTGTACAGTAATACCTTGGTTTACAAGTAACTTGGTTTGAGAGCATTTTGCAAGACAAGCACACATTTCTGAAAAATGTTGCCTTGATATACAAGCAATGCCTTGCAATAAGAGCAAAATGTTGTAGAAAAGCGCCACCCGAATAAGGCTGTAGCAGTGCGAGCGATGTGTCTGTTTAACGACAATGCAATGTCACATTGGATAGATCCCTTGTTAAGGTTTCACAAAATGAAAAAGATTCCATTGAGTCAAGAGATAGCAGTGATTCCGGTAGTGATAGTGAAAGTTGTCCTACACAATAATCCTCCTCCTCTCTTGTCCCTCTCACACCGGCCACAAAGGTATCTGTAATTGGTTTATTTTTCTTTATATTTTGTACAGTATTATATTACAGTACAGTATTGTAATAATTTTTATATGAATATTTTTGGGTTGTGGAACGAATCATCTGAATTTCCATTATTTCCTATGGGGAAATACGCTTTGATATACAAGCGCTTTGGATTACGAGCATGCTTCCGGAACGAATTATGCTCGTAAAGCAAGGTATTACTGTACTTTAAAGAATCAAAGCAGGTGGATTTTATATGCTGGATGGTATCCTGGCTTGTAACTTGATGACTTTTCTTCTCTAGACTTTGTCACTTCAGCGACAAATGACGGAGAACCTGGGGATTGCTAAAGCCAGAGAAGAGACTGTATCCTTTACTGTGGGCGGAAAGGAGTCCATTGATCTGGCACTGTGCCGTTTACTTCTCTTCATTTGAATAATAAAGTTTTCTGTGCTAACAATGGCCTAAAGAGATGCTAATTCCTTAACCTCCACCCCCCAGCTGCAGAGGAAGGCTGAGGAACGTAGGCTCAGGCTACAGGAAGAGTCAGACAGGTAAATTAAAGATGATTTTCCGCAAGGTGTACCATGCCTTCTCCTCCCTCTCTTTTTGTTCTTCCTGCAGACGCTTCTCCAAAAATCAGCAAATGACACCAGCGCAAGAAGAGCAAAAGATGCTGTATACCGCCATGCTGGAATATGAGCAGGATCATGTGAGTACAGCACATGCTTAGATCAAATCTCCTGCAGGCATATGCCACATCTTTATTTTCCTAACTCACTCTTGTGATCCTCAACTTTGTGCGTTGGTAGAAGCTGACAGGTTGTATGTTCTAGATATATCCTCAGAAGTATTAGCGTGCCTCACTAAAGCTGTTTATGAAAACATAGCTTCTACCTAGATGGCTGGAAAACATGTAATATTGGTGGCCACTGAAGACTAAAATTGAGAAGTTCTATTTAAGAAATTAAGTGCCTGCATTGCATTAACCTGCATGCTTCTGTGCACTAAGTGCACGCATTTTAGCAGGACACCACAGTGCGTTATGTACGTTAGTGTGCCGGTGCCTGTTGTGCTGCGCAAAAATGCTCATGCCTAGGTGGGTGTGTTGGGGTGCCATTGACTTTAAATGGTAACGCAGCACACCTAGTATGTGTTGCTGTGTGCTGCTAAAACATGAGCAACGTAATGGTGAAAACAGACCCTTAAGGTCAGTTTCCCCCAAAACTGGGACATTAGTAAGTTAACTCACCCTCTGAGGGCCAGTTCACACCATATGCAGTTGTGATGCAGTCCGTTCAGTTTGACTGCTGCAGCCAAAATACATCACAATGCTTTCCTATGGGCTTTCTCGAAGCTGTATTCACACCATTGCAGTCCGTTCAGATGCAGTCAGAAAAAGTACTGCGTGTCCTATTTTAGCTGCATCTAAGTGCACCGGAACGCATCAAAATGCATGCAAATGCAATGGAACGCATACAAAAAAAAACACCAGAATTGATTGTGGCATCATCCAGGGGGAAAAAAAGGCATCTGAATGCATCACAAATGTGATGCAGTTTCTGGTGTGAACTAACCCTTATATCTTTTAAGTGCTCTGGTGGTATGATTTCTGACTGCTGTGTCATAATTTCTTAATGAAGGGGTAATTCCAGGGCCGGTGCTAGGATTCTTGCCTACACAGGCAAGGTGCATTTTTGCGCCCCCCCCCCCACTCCAAGTAAAGCTGCCAATACACTGCTCAAATTGCGGGCAATTTCTGTGATAAAACGGCTAAACTTCATGCTGTGGGTGGGTGGCCGTCTCGCTACCATGCAGGATTGAACAACGCAAATTTGAAGTGTGCATGTCCAGCTTAAATCCACTGTAAGGGTTTTTTGTGACTCCAAGACACTGGAAAACTAGCTTGGGTTCCTTATTCAACCACTCTTCATAACTTCTGGGCATGTTGGTTCACATGTTCACCGCTGCCTGCTCTGGTTTCTCCCTATGGCCACTACAAGGCAGAGTAATGATATAGGACCAGCGGGAGGAATCAAAGTGCTCAGCAAGAAACACGCTATCTGAAACACTTGGAAATGTTGGATGGCAGTGATTCCTAGCTCTGGTTTGGACTTGCCAATCCCCAACAGGTAAAGTTTTCTTTTCTTTGCAAGGTGCTTTGGAATCACTCTTTCCCATTATAATGACAGAGTTTCTTTTGCAGATCCAGCTTCATGGTGAATTCATATTGACAGTGAAATACCATGATTGGGGATATTATTCCATTGTTGTCCTCAGCATAAGAAACCAGAGGCATTGTCACCAGCCACAATATTGTTTTTGGTGTTCGTGGCCTTTAAAAGTAAACATCTGATTGGCTCCCAGTTAGTGCATTTAAAGTTCCATAACATTTTCTTTCTAGTTTTGAAGAAGGGTTGCTATTGAAAATAAGTTGTTATTGCTGTCAGCGTTCACAATAGGACAGTTTGGCCTCATTTACTCTTTTGGTGGCACTTTGTGTGTCATGGTGTCCCTAACATAGGGAGGGGGGCAGGTCAGATCTCAGTTAGGTATTAGCATAATAATGCTTTCAGTCTTCAGAGTTCCCGGGGAGTTCTGCTAGGGATGTGACACCTCCTGTTGCCATCTGTGCGTGCTTCCCTATTAATGCCTGCTATCAGTGTGCAGATGTAAATGAATGGAAATTTGCTCTAACAATACAACATGTTGGTGTTTTTTGCCGTTTTGTATATTTTGGCGAGCACTGGCTTTGTTTTCATTCCACTTTTCATTTTGTTCTGTGTAGTGGTGGAGGATTGAAAACTAAAAGCAGGCTGAATAGAGCTGCAAGTGTTGTTTTAAAACAGTGGTTCTCAACTTGTGTAACCTCAGGACTCACATTTGTCCTTGGCAATTAAAGGAGAACTATGAGGTGCGTGCTTTTCACTCACCTCATAGTTCTTTATTAGCGGTATACTGAGCTTAGGGTGTCCTCCCGTTACCCTAAGGAGAACTATAGGGAAAACCCCTGACCCCATAGTTCTCCTTTTAAGTTGCGACCCAAGTCACACTGCAATGGAAGGCATGGCATTGCAGTACCGCGCTTTCCGATGCGAGCGATTAAACTGTGGGCGGGAGGTGCGCTTAGGGTGTCTTTCAAATAAATAACACCGTATGGTACAGTGCGTTAATTACACAGGACTGTTCGATTAACACACTGTACTAGTGTGAACGGACCCTCAAAAAACACTGACAGACACGACACAATCTCACACACACATATACACTCCAAAACATTTTTAATTATTTTTTCTTTTGTTTTAAGATCCACCCTGCCTCCCTTCCTTACGAGAACTGCAGTGGATCCTCAACCTGGGGTTCAGTGTGGGCTGCTGTGCTTTGACTGAGCTCCATCCACATGTGCATTGCTTGTACAACCCCCTTGCACGCCCTGTAGAGATGCCGGGAGCCAGAACATGACATCACTCCAATACAGGCACCTCTACAGGACATGTGAGGGAGCTGTAAGCAATGCATGTATGGATGGAGCTCCCTCGTGGCCATAGCTCCAGCCCACCCCACCTCAAGCTGACACTCGGCGAGAACTGACAGTGCTGCGCTAACAAGCCTCTCACCTAGAAAAGTGGAAGGCACGCGGCGAACCGCTGAACACGGGGTCGCGACTCACTTTTGGGTCACAACCCACCAGTTGAGAATCAAGGGTTTAAAAGAAGGGTCAAACCAAATGTGAACCCTAACCAGATCGCAATGTGTATTTTAAACAAATGTCATTTTCTGAATAAAAAATTATTTTTTTTAACCTTTTTTATTTCGTCCTTGCTGATCCTCCTGAGCCTCGTTCGGCCACTTCTTGTCTACTTGCATTGTTCCAGTGTCAGTTGCAGATCTATGCTCTGGACTGGTTTACTGATGGTGACAATGTTGAACTATGCCTGTGTATAGCCATTTTCAGCCTCAAACAGAGGTGCAGGCGACACCACAGGATCACAGCTGTTTTTGAAATTACATTAACGGGTTGAACCCTTTATACTAGGGGTGGGCAACACCGGCCCACCAGCCTTACTTTAACTACAAATCCCATCATGCTTTTGCCTCTAGGAGTCATGGCTGTTACTGTCAGTCGGTGTGGGAGGAGAGACATCGGCCGCTCACAGCGCTCTCCTCCCACAGTGCTCGGCTGGTTGTCACACTTTCTCTCCTCCCCGCTGGGACACAGAGCAGCGCCCAGAGGGGAGGAAAGAAAGCAGAGATGCGCCGCTGTATCGGCAGGAAAATGGCACTTTAGGCATTATGCCAAAAGTGCCGTTTTCGGACGATGTGTTTCGGCGGCCGATATATCGGTGCATCCATGAGAGAAACCATTGTTACATAAGTGCATATAAACTCTAAAAATGAACTTCTGTTATTTGCTCCCTTTTTGGTCTGTTAAATATAAGGTTTTTTTTGTTTTTTTTAATATCAGTTTAGAAAAAATGGCAGCCGATCCCGTTGGAAATCCACTGGCCTCCTAATATCTTGTAGGGCTGCACTAATATCTGAGTGCTATTAGCTCTGCCACAGTTCTCTATATGGACAAAAAACAGCTCCCCATATGTTCCCATTTATGGGAAGGGGGTGTTCTGTAGTCCTAACTTTGGGTGACAACACTTCTCCCCCAGACATACAGTACAGTGAGCAAGTGTTGTCACCCTAGAACAGGACATATATTACTGACAGCATTATCAGATGGAAATAAAAAGGACCAAATGTCAGAAAAAGTAAACTATTGCAGCCATCACATCCAAGGACTGGTAGCTGCAATATATTACATATCTCTTGTTGAGTTTAAATATATGTTAAAGGTGGAGTTTTCAATGCTGGCAGTTAGCGTATTTCAATGTTCTGTGCTTATTTATTGTTCTGTATCCTTCAGTGTGCGCATGTCATTAAATCTTTCTTATTTCACTGTCTAGGAATGGACACAGCTCTGCAAGAAGAAGATAAAGAGCAATCCCAATGACCTGGGCCCGGTCTCCAGATATATGTATCAGATACTCAGGTATTACCCTTATTGCAGGGTGACATTAGCAGGCTAAATCTTCTGGTTTCAGGTCTCTGGTCTTTTTTATCACGCACAAATCTGTGATATCTGTTTGTATCCTTCAACATGCTACCCAGATCTTGTTCACATTTCAAAGGTGCTGAGCTCTGTTGTGGTAATTGGTCTCTTTCCCACTAAGTAAATGCGAGAAAACAAACAATGAATAGTAGTATTACCACCCCTACCTGTGTGTAAACAAAGGTGGTTCTCTGGGAAGATAGAGAAAAGGAGTGGCACACTCTATCCAATTTAAATACAAAGATCAGAGTGCTGCCAGAAGGATTGGATGAATATTTGCATGAGGCAAAATGCTGCATGTAAACTAGATGTTAGATGCATATGTTACAGGCTTGTGTGCATGAGAGTCAGGACCCCAACATACTGTACACTGCATTAATGTCTGCATGGGAGTCAGGATCCCAGCATCGCATACACTGCATGAGAGTCAGGATCCCAGCATTCACTGCACAAGAGTCAGGATCCCAGCATACACTGCATAAACGTCTGCATGAGAGTCAGGATCGCAGCATTCACTGCACGAGAGTCCGGATCCCAGCATACACTGCATAAACGTCTGCATGAGAGTCAGGAGCCCAGCATACACTGCATGAGAGTCAGGATCCCAGCATACACTACATAAACGTCTGCATGAGAGTCAGGATTCCAGCATACACTGCGTGAGAGTCCGGATCCCAGCATACACTGCATAAATGTCTGCATGAGCGTCAGGATCCCAGCATACACTGCATGAGAGTCAGGATCCCAGCATACACTACATAAACGTCTGCATGAGAGTCAGGATCCCAGCATACACTACATAAACGTCTGCATGAGAGTCGGGATCCCAGCATACACTGCATGAGAGTCCGGATCCCAGCATACACTGCATAAACGTCTGCATGAGAGTCCGGATCCCAGCATACACTGCATAAACGTCTTCATGAGAGTCAGGATCCCATCATACACTGCATGAGAGTCAGGATCCCATCATACACTGCATAAACGTCTGCATGAGAGTCCGGATCCCAGCAAACACAGCATAAATGTCTGAATGAGAGTCGGGATCCCAGCATACACTGCATGAGAGTCAGGTGCATGAGAGTCAGGATCCCAGCATACACTGCATGAGAGTCCGGATCCCAGCATACACTACATAAACGTCTGCATGAGAGTCCGGATCCCAGCAAACACAGCATAAATGTCTGCATGAGAGTCAGGATTCCAGCATACACTGCATGAGAGTCAGGATCCCAGCATACACTACATAAACGTCTGCATGAGAGTCAGGATTCCAGCATACACTGCATGAGAGTCAGGATCCCAGCATACACTGCAGAAATGTCTGCGTGAGAGTCAGGATCGCAGCACACATTGCATGAGAGTCAGGATCGCAGCACACACTGCATGAGAGTCAGGATCCCAGCATACACTACATAAATGTCTGCATGAGACTCCAGATCCCAGCATACACTACATTAATGTCTGCGTGAGAGTCAGGATCCCAGCACACACTGCATGAGAGTCAGGTTTCCAGCATACACTACATTAATGTCTGCGTGAGAGTCAGGATCCCAGCATACACTGCAGTCAGGATCCCGGCATACACTGCATAAATAACTGCATTAGAGTGAGGATCCCAGCACACAGTACAAGTATGTCTGCATGAGAGTAAAGACCTCAGCACCTGCATAAATATTTATTTGCATGAGAGTCAGGACCCCAGCACACAGTATGTTTACAAGAGAATCGGGAATCTAGAAGATATTACACCCATGCATGCTTTAGAGTCAGGGAACCAGTATGCACTGCGTAGGTGTGTGTCAGGAGAGCACTAATATATATCTACACACACACTCTGAATTCCCTATGGTATCTGAAACATGGCCTTTAGTACCTGTAAATTGAAAAGTATGCGTAAAGTGAAATGCAATGCATTATTATGCATGTAGCTCAACTGATTATCACCTCTGCCTGCATCAGTCCTTGTCACTCCCCCCATACACTGTTTTAGAATTGATGATCAGTTAATCAGTTTTTCAAAATAATTATTTTCTGGGCATCACAAGAAAAACAGAACTAATTCCTGCTTATTTTTTCCCCCTTGTATCAGCACCTCAGAACATCCGCTTACCAAACTAGTACGACGCCTCCAGTGCCAAATTTACAGTCGTTTGTATCTGATCATCAGCAAAGATCTGTCTCAGGAATCTTCAGCCTCCAATCTTGGTCATCAATTGCTCCCTGTAGAACCTGCTTCCTTACCGGTCCCCACTGCTTCTAAACTGAGAATGTCTCAGAGTCTGTATAGCCTCCCCAGCTGCCAACGTCCCTCCATCCGGCACAGCCGCTCCATAGGAGAGGGACTGGAGAGCTTTGAGCTTCCTGCAGATTGCCAAACTGACAGAGAGCAGGGCAAAAAAGAAATAGAGAGCTCCTATGAGGACCTGGAACACTTGCTGTCCCCTACATCACTGTCTGGACCTGCAGCTCTGCAGAGATTGTCGGTATCGCAGTATTTAAATACAGTCGTGAAAGAGATTCACAATGCCAGAGGTAAGTGCTGCCAGAGCCAGGCCTAGAAATACATTTGATCTAAACTGTGGACAGATATAAAAGACACAAATGAATGCAGCTCTGTATTTATTAATACATCATTAAATGTATTTTTAAATGCAAGCATTGTAAGAACCTGAATTTGACTTGATTGGGACCTCATGCAATACCTTGTACGGCAAAGCTCAGACTTGGTAAAGGGAGAAGCAGCTCAAGAAGCCAATAAGTTGTGGTGAACTAATAGGAGCATTCTGATGTGAGGAAAGCACAGAGAGATGATAGCTCTGTATCACGATTTGGAGCTTACCCAAGCTGAAGACTCTCCCTGCTCCCATGTGACAGCACTGGGTGCCTGAGTGTTCAATCACTAAGCACCAGTACTGTCACATAGGAGGAAGGGTAGTGAGTGACATGCTCCCCTATATCCAGTAGCGCTGGGTATTTATCTTTGCCCCTATTCATTAAAAAGAGCAGCAGGGAGAGAAGGCGATTATGTGTTGCTGGTAGGGCCACCATTAACATGAACCTGTTGCTTTGCCCTGTGTGGCCCTTTAATAAGACAATGCTGTATTCATTCTGTGCAGAACTATAAATGTCTGCAGTTGTAGTAGCGTTTACCCATTCGCACCAACGCATGGGATCAGACTCCTGAGTGTCACAAATTCCTCCGTGAGACTAATATGATCAGCTGCAGACAAAAGGTACAGTACAGCTGTCACCACGGGCAACTCTTCACTAGACATTCACATGTAATCACACATCCCTTTGGTCAATTGCACTTGGATGCAAACAGTCTACATCCAGGTGCAATTGTCTGCAGGTAATCGCAGTATGTGCAGTTACATGCAAACGGCCTGCGAACAGCCATGGCCAGTGGCAGCTGTCATATTGTATAGCGCCTCTCACCCACAACTGTATAAAGTCCATATACCTTGTTGCACTCCTTACCAGTCTGTCCCAATGATGATGGATGCTTGCAATGGCTGCAGGTGGCGCCGCTCCAGATACAACAGCAGATAGAAAGATGTCACCAGCACTCCAATCCAGAGATTCACGTTAGTGTCAATCCATTTTATTGACAAAAATCATAAAGACCAGCGCTTTCGGGGGCCACACAGGGTCCCCTTCATCAGGCTCAATAATAATCTCGCCCACAACTGATCACGTGACTCTCACGTAGGAATTTGATACTCAGTGATCTGGTGCTATGCGCAAGTATGAATAGGGCCTTACAGGCGTGTGTGTGTGTTTGTTGGCTGGCAGGAGGTAGCGGAAAGCTCCAGTACTCCCCAGAAGTGTCAGAGCTTTACCTGTCGGAACGCTCTGGTATTTGGCTGGTATAGCTGCTGCAGCGATGTTACGGTTCCTCTAGGTGCCCCTACTTTATACCTACAGAAGGTATCTTTGGGTCTTGCACAGCAGAATCTTTTTAATTTAGTTTTATTGACTTTTAGCTTTAGGGCTTCATTACCCAAATTATACTGCGCATTACTGCAATGCATGGTAACACATAGAGGGGAATTGATCAAAACTGGAGCAGTCAAATTCTGGAGCAGATTTGCGCTGCAACCAATCAGCTTCTCTGTCTCATTTTCAAATCTTACCTGAGCAAATCAACACCATAAAGGAAAGAAAATTGGGCTTTTAGGGTACCAAGTGACAAAAAAACAAGCAACTACAACATGATAAAACAAAGTTTCTTTATGGTACAAAGGTTACAACATGTTTAAAAAGACATCATTGATATGTACAGATTTCAAAGAAGAAAAGAGCAAACTGATCTCCAAATGGACTATTCCAGAATTATAATCTGAGGCTAAATGACCATAACATACAAAATTGATGTAGCATGCTCTTGTACTCATACAGCACATAGATGCCTCTTCTTATATCAGGAATAGTATATTTCTCAATGCGTTTCGCGCTCCAAGCCCTTCCTCAGGAGATAAAGGAGATCTAAACAATCACATATTAGGTGAGTATACCAAAACGGATAACCACCACCCGACTTGCTTAAAGGAGAAGTATGAGGTGAGTGCTTTTCAGTCACCTCATAGTTCTAGCCGACCTGTGACAATGAGACTGTCACAGGTCGGCTCAGTAGATCGGGAGGTGAGCGAACATATACCGGCGTTCCCGGCTGCACCGGCTGGATTCCCCCCGCTCCGATCCGCCAGTGCTACAGGAAAAACAAATTGGCAACATCGATATGTTAGAGAACCATGAAGTGAGTGTTTTTCACTCATCCTCATAGTTAGAGCCGACCTGTGACAAAAGAAGCTGTCACAGGTCGGCCCTTTATCAGGATGTGAGCAGAAACATGCAGCGATCTGCTCACTTTCCGATCATCTCCCCCTTCCCCTCTCCGATCCTCCAGCGCTGGGGAGGGGGCGGGTACAGCTGGCTCTGCCTCTAGATAGGCAGAGCCAGCTGTCACTCACGCAGCTGGGCGGATCTTGACATCGATGTCGGGATCCGCTCTGGCTGCGGCGTCTCAGTATACCGCGAGCTGTAGCTCGCGGTATACTGAGCTTAGGGTAACGGGAGGACGCTAGTTTGTGTTCTCCCGTTACCCTAAGGAGAACTATGGGGAAAAGCCCTGACCCCATAGTTCTCCTTTAACAATGAAATACCATTCATATCACCTACCGTTCCCAGAGAGCAGCAAACCGTGCGTGCCCGGCCAGGCAAGCAGAGCAAGAGCCCAAGATCAAAGTGTGCCCAAGGACATAAAGGACCCCCCGCCCCCCCAAAAAAAAGGAGGTGGTGGGGAAAAGGACCCAAGCGGACAACCATCCAAAACTGAATAAGAAAGGAAAAAAGAGAAGGGTGGATATATCAATAACTCTACCCCATTCAAAATTCAAAAGCCCAAAATGACCAACTCTGTCTCATTTTCAATTCTGACCTGAGCAAACTGAAGAGAGATACTGATTGGTTGCCATGGGCAACTGCTCCACATTCTGTCTGCTCCAGCATTGATAAATTCCCCCCATTGTAGATTTGTATTGCAAAGGTAATTGCACCCCAACACGTCTACAGTGCACTGCACCACATCTGCATTAAAGTTCACCACAGTGTGAACAAGCCTCCATAATACTGGGCTATCAGATCCGTTTTTGACCCTTTAACCTTCTGCTGCTACAAAAAGAGGAGACTCCATGTAGGGGGG